TTTAGCTAATGTTTTGAATAGCTGACATAATTTGGAAGAAAATGGTGTATACATATGTTAGGTTTGCTTAAAAATTGAGGAAGATACAGCATCGTGAACATCGCGCCTATTCACGTTTTCACGGCGCACCCGTCAACGTGCGATCCGGCTCGCCGCGGTCAGCCAAGTTCCGAAGCGTTCTAAAGTTCCGAAATCCGAGGTTCGTCAATTTTTGAGCAAACCTAGCATATTCATATACCATTTTCTCCCAAATTTTGTCAGCTATTCAAAACATTAGCTAAATCCGGGACTTTTCCTCATCCGTAGCCGCTATATAAAAAAAACCGCAAAAAAAGGCCTTTATAGGCCATTTTTTCAAAATAGCGGAAAATGCTCACCAGATACGCGTGCGGAAACTTCAGATTCGGATTCAGCGACCCAAAAAACATAAAGTAAGCCAAAAAAATCGCTGTGTACCCAAAATTCCAGGTAGCCTCATTTTTAGCTACCAGGCGCCTGGACTATAATGATAAATACCTCCTCCCACTTCAGGACATCCTTAGGCAACACCAACGCCGAACGGATTACATTTGAGCTACTCATATGCTTTTTGGTATGATCATTTATCTCTAGATTCTAACTGTGACAATTCGTGAGTAAACTTTTTCAAACGCTCTTTTCCACAAGTAGACGCATTGTACTGCGGATTTTTTGTCTTCTGTTTATTAAAGTTTTTACGATGTAGAAACATTTTTAAGTATTTAATGATGTGTAAGTTCTCGAATAACGTTTTTCTCTTTGAGTTGTAACAGTGCAAGCTAGGAGCCATAGTTCATAATAATGCATATAATGCCAGATGTGGAACGGTTGCGAGTTTGATACCATTCAAAGAGTAAGGAATTCAAAAAAAAACCCAAGAATTTGAGGCCATTTTTTAATGTAAGTATTTTAGAAAAAAGTGTTTTCAACATATTTAGGCCAAAATATAGGAGCAGAACATATTTATATGCTAAAAAAAAAAAAAAAAAAAAAAAAAAAAAAAAAAACCAGAGGCAAGAATGTCCCTTATTTCAAATTTTCGCTCATGTATACCCCTAGACGAATTTTATTTGTGGATGCAGGTGGATGCGCATCCAAAATTGGTGATGGATGCGGCATTTCCCGTATTTTATTTCTCGCGTCCAGTTCCTAGTTGGGTAAGGAGTTTGGCGATGCGTGTGGGAGTTTGGCAATCGGTTTGGCTGATGACGTAAAAGTGGATGCGCATCCGAAAAATGGAAGCGGGTCTCGCTGGCCCAAGACCCGCTTCCAGTAGCGCATCCCGCATCCATTAGAGGCGGGAATTCAAATTTTGGTTACGTTTCCGAGAATCTCGTGGTCTGTCAACAGGGGAGACGCCATTACACGCTCGGTTCCTGGCTATCGCTCAGTTCGCCCAGTTATATATATTAATCATTAGCAATAGAGAAGGAGAGGTAGAATAATATATACCTAGAAGAATATAGTTAGTAATATTTAAGTGCTGTATATTTTTGAATGCCTGATAAAAGGGTTATTAGGTATGATGTAATAATTTATGTAATTTAGAAATTATTTCTAGAGATATGTAAGCTAATCTAAGTTATTGGATTCATATTTCAATCATAGATTAATAAAATCTCTTATTTAGTGAAGTATATAAAAGTCTTATCAATTTATCTAGTAGCTACGTTTAGCTTTATAAGCTGGACTATAAATAATTGATTAATAATTTGATATCTTATAGAAGTATGTCTTATTTTATTTTTGGGCATGTGTACATCAGGAAAAGGATGAAGATTTACAGAAATAATAACAAGATATTATCTTGTTTAAGTGAGATTTTCTTTAATGATACTTGTATTTATTTTATATATTTAATTTGGGTCATTTGTATAGGTTTATTTTAATTCTAGGGTTAATAATTAAGTGGGGGATATTTCCTTTCTATTTTTAGTTTGTTTTAATTTATGGAAAACTTGAATGAATAAGGTTTTTTATTTTATCTACTTTAATAAAGTTAATTCCCTTGATCCTACTACATTATTTATTTTCTATTTCAAGATTATTCTTTGCTAGGGTTAGTTCAACAGTTTTTGGAAGGTTTATAGGGCTAAATAATGGTGTTATTCAAAAAATGATAGGTTATAGTTCTACAATTACTGTTTGCTGGTTTATTTGAAGTATGAGAATCAGGTTAAATTTGTTTCTCTTTTATTTTATAAGCTACACGACACTTCACTTGCAACACGGCACACAACAACAGGTCGCCCATATGCTATTTTTTGGAATTCCCGGTTCCCGCGTATCACATGACTGGTCACGTGATATTTTGACGGAACGTTTTCCAGCGTCTGCCTTTGGTGGATGCGTTTGGCCAAAAATGGATGCGGACAAACTGGATGCGGCATACCGCATCCACAAATAAAATACGCTTCCTCCCGGCGGCCGTTTTGGAGGGAGCAAGGAGTTGATCCTGGCGCCAAACAGGGTGTGATGGCATTTCAGACCTCCGATTTGTGACTTGGAATTGGGAATCTCCGTCCTGAAATTACATAAGAGTCGACACCTCACATGACGTTCTAAGAGAATTTCACCATTCATGCCCCCAGTGACAGCCATATTAGAAAGGGGAGGGGGTTCCCGCGTTCCTCTGGCCCTTTATAGGGTATAAGAGCATATATAGGGCATAAATTAATAAATAAAAAAGTAGGTATAAATAAAATACATGGTCTCGCACGCTCCCCCAAATAACACTTTGAACTTAGCACGCTTTCAATCCGAAAATGCTGATTCAGAAAAAATATTCAAGCATAACAATAATGTAAATGATCGGACTTTCTTTTTTACTTGGCAATGTAAATACGAATCCTTTCTCACAAGAATTACTTAAAGATATTGTAAATAAACGCAAACTAGGAGGTTGCATCATCACAGAGCCAAATGTATACATATAAGGCAAATTATGATAATTATTACTCTAGCATAGATCAATGGGTAACTGCCAGTACAAATAGAAGTCTTAAAGGTTCAACTAAAAACTGGGAAGCCGGCCCTTTCTATATCAATTTTGAATGGCGAGAAATCACAATTATAGGCATTTATCTTTCACCTAATAATAATAACGTAGAACTTTTCATTTTAGAAACCAGAATTAAAAGAAAAAAGGGATCTTTTTTAATATTTTGAGATTTTAATGGCAGATCACCCGCCTGAGGTGATTTAAAATATAATCCAAGAGGCAGATTGATAGAAAATTGGATTTATGAAAATAAGTTAGTAATTATAATAACCATGAAACATTTATTCCCACCTTTATCAACTC